CGAGATTCTTTGTTCATCAGATTCTCGCACTAATGAGACTACCTGAAGTAATGGAGCAATTGTAATTAGGCCAGGAGCTGAGCAGACTCACAGCCACCATAAATAAAAATGGGGTTTACCTAACCTTCCCATTCAATCCCAGGGAGGGCAGGGAGGGGAAAGGAGGCTGAGCAGTGAACAGCCTCCCTCCCAGGCAGCAGCTACTCAGGGGTGATCGAGGTGACCCCAACCCCTGGACTAGCTGGTCAGGGTGAAGTTCAAGATGGAAGTGTCCTGATAGAGGTCAGCTGTCAGAGGAAGCAAACCTGAACACTGTGGTCGGAGGGTTGCGGGATTCACTGGGGCTCCCTCACTTCGCATGGTGAGGATCTGTTACTTGGTGGAAATCAGAACACAAGTAAGGTCCAGGTAACCTCTGATTCCCAAGCTCTTCCTACCCTAAGCAACTGCCAGGGCCCCAGAGGAACAAAGGCCCTACAGGAAATTAGAAGATACACCAAGCTCTGATCCATTTAGTTCAGCATATCTTCACCTTTGCTGCTTGTTGAGCATTAGGCATGCCGACAAGAGGACTCCAAGCTCTGGATCCAGCCCGTGTGCATCCATTCTGGGCTCAGCCACCCACAGCTGGGTGACCCAGGCAAGGCACAAACTCCCTTGCCAAGTGGAGCCAATGGTGCCTACTTGGAGGTGGGGGAAAGCACTCAGAAAGGTGGCATTGCTAATCTACTGGGCTAATCTGCTGGGCTCCTGCCAACGCCCCTGCAGAGCATACGCTGCTGAGAGGTGAACTGTTGGCTTCATGAAATGCAACCCAGGTCTGGAGCCTGGAAGGGGTCTTGGCCATGTGACAAGTCACTCCTGTGCTGTGTTCCAGCCTCTGACATACTCCAAGCCCTTTCCACTGCGGCAGGTTCTGCAAAGTGAGGGCATCAACTGACATCAACTGAGAGACCCCAAGCAGAGGCAGGGGGTGGGACAAGAAAATGTTAACTCCAGTCCTCCTTTGTGAGATCTGCCCCAGGTCAGCTGGGCAACCCTGGGCATGTTCTCAGTCTCTCTCTGCCCTATTCTCCTCCCCACAGCCTGCAGGGACACATGATCACTGGTAAGGGAGGGTCTTAGCCAAAAACAGGTGTCCTGCTCAAAAGAGTGCTCTGAAGAGAGAATGAAAGTACAGGAGGAACTGAGAGAAATGCCAAGGAACGGTGAGCATGAGACTTGTTCAGGGAGCACTGACGCCATCACCACATTTAGGCCTAGGTGGAGGCGTGGGGTAGGGAAGGTACTATTGCTCTGAGAACCAGTGAGAACTGTGGCCCAAACACAAATTGTGACTGAAAGTCAAAAATGCAAACTACAGCCCAGGAAGGAAGGACTAGAAGGAAAAATACCCATAGTGCTCTCCGGCTAGCGGACCTCTTGCAGGGGCTTCCTGTCAGCCAAGCTCACATGGAGAACTGCACGCTCAACCCCCAGGGTACAGAGCAGGGCAACCAAGGGAGTGGGGACAAATGAAAACTAATCAGCCTCGGTGGGCTGCACAGTGCCCCCCAGCATGTCCACATCTTCATGCCTGGAACTTTCTGTCACTGTGACAAAATGCTCCACATAAATCACCTTGAAAGAAAGGTTTTCTGGGGCTCAGTTTCAAAGGCTTCGGTCCCTGACTACTTGACTCCATTGTTCTAGGGCTGTGGTGAGGCAGAAGCATCACAATGGAAGGCCATGGTGGAGAAAAGCTCCTCATTTCACAGCAGCCAGGAACAGAGTGAGAGAGAACCGGCCTGAGAGAGCAAATACCCTTCGAAGCCACACCCCCAGCAAGGCCCCACCTCCTAACAGCCCATTCAGCTATGAGCTCATGTCTGGGTTGATCCGGTGATACGGTTAGCCCTGTCACCCTCGGCAAAGGAACTTTGCAGGCATGATCAAATCAGAGTCTTGATTTAGGAGATTATGCTGGACTACGCAGGTGAACTCAAAATAGTCTCAAAGCTTCCTGTAAGTGGGGAGCGGGGACAGAAGGGTCAGAAGCACACCAGAATGATGTGATAATGGAAGCTGGGGAACACAAAGAGATTGGAGGATGGCACCCTGCCGGTTTTGAAAATGGAGGAGGGGCCAGGAGCCATGGAATGCAAGTGGCCCCTAAGAGCTAGAAAGGGCAAGAAAATAGATTTTCCCCAGGTGAGGCTGGAGAGAGAATGCATCTTGCCAACCTACTGAGGACTTCTGATCTCCAGAGGGATAAAGGAAAATCTGTGCTGTTTTGAGTCATGAAGTTTGGGGTACTTTGCTCGAGCAGCCACAGAAACTAATATGTCTGCAGGGGGCAGGGGTCTCAGGATCCCCACTCGGGGCCTTGTCAACTCCAGTTAGGAGACAGGTCCCTGGTTCACACCTGGGAACACACACCCTGGTTACCAGCACTGATTCCCAGGAGAGAGACCTGGATAGAGGGGTCTGCAAAACTCACATGAGGCCTCTCTCACTGCTCCCAAACAAAGTCCAGGTTCCAAGTTGCTCCCCAGTTAAATTCTTACATTTCCCCCTTCCTTTTTCTTTTAGGATTGCGGCCTGCCTGTGCACGGACTAGCCAGCCAGTGAGGGAGGCAACACAGTGCAGTTCATAAAGGCCCAGCCCAGAGATCTGGAAACCTGAATGCCAACCTGTGCCGGGGGCTGATCCAACCCCGATACCTATGCGGGGACCACAGGGAATAAAGAAAGACAAAAGACACAATATTCAAGGTACAAGGAGGGATCAGGAGGTAACCTATCTCTAGTGGGCAGGCACATCCATCTCCGCGGTCAGCCTATTTTTACTAGCAAGCGAAGACCACAGGAGAAGAGGTGGTAGAATTTGACTTGTAGGAGACAGAGGAAAGCTAATGGAAAACAAGTTCTTCTCTAAGTCCAGATGCCTGCAATCTACATTGTCCTCAGCAGGTGTTATCCTGCCTTAAGAGCGCTGCAGATATGAGCCTTCTCCATGCAGCCAGGAAGCGTGACAGCCTTCCATATACTTTTCTGTCTTCCCAAGGCGAGGTCACACCCGCCTCAGACCATAGGACTCTAGACATGTAACCTAGTCCCCAGCGTGATAAAATACCTCCTCTCCCCTGGTCCCCAACAGCCTTGGATCTGCCTTGGGTTTGGAATGGGATCCAGCAAGTTACTGCCCCTCTCTGAGCCTGTTTCTCTGTCTGGTACCTGTTTAAAGGGACCTGACTGGGTTGTCTCTGACACCCTAGCCTACTGTCAGTCTCATTCCAGGGTTCTAAGTATCTCCTTCACTGTCACCAACCTGCCTCACTGTCCTTGCAGTACCTGGGGTGGTCAGGGTTGGTGAAAAACCCACACATCCAGAGCCCCAGCTCCTGGCCCCCAGTCCTCACTCTGCCTGTTCTCTGCTGTCCCCCATGGGCCTCTCAAAAATATCTTTCAGCTAAATGCCTGAGAAAGGAGCCCTCTAGAGAGGACCCCTGTGTTGGCCTGGCTAGCTAGGAACTCCCTCCAGGCTAGTTTTCGGGGCACAAAAGAAAGCCATGCAGCTACCTGCATCTCTCCCTGCATCACACCTCCTCTGCACTAGACTACAGGGCATGAGATGCAGTGGTTTCTGAAAAGCGGTTCTACTGTCCCATTCTCTGCCATTAGATGAAAGTAACAATAGGACAAGGGGATGCTGTAGGACAAGGGTACTTCCCAACCACAGTCTACAGTTGTCCTGGCCCCCAGTCCTCTTTTTGGGTGCCTGCAAATGTCCTGAGGCATAAGAGGGGGAGATGCTCAAATAGTTTGGGTCAGAGAGGACTCTGAAGGGTTCTAGGTACATATGAACATCAGACTTACTGAAGAATCTGTGGGCTACATAGTGACAGATGATGTGGGGGCCACACTGTCCCCAGGGGAAGGGACAGCGGTAGGAACCCTAAACACAGAAATGGACGGGACGAGGGAAGCTGGGAAGTCTGCAGACCATCATTCGCGGCCTTCAAATAATGTCTGCTCTGAGCCATACAGAGCTTCCAGCTGCCCAGACACTGTCAGGCTGCTCTCCCAAGGCAGTGCAGCCAGAAGCTGGCAATGGCCCCCCAGTTGTCCTTCCTCACTGCTCACCTTCCAGGGCTCAGGGGTCTCTCTGGCCTCAGGACACTCCTCCCTGGCTGCTCCCATAGCTCATAATGTCCCCTTCCTCGGGCCACCCCAAACCCCCTCCTCCCACCTGATTTCCTCCCAGTGGGCCTGGATGCCAAGCCCAAGTCAACACAAAAGAGCCCCCTTGTCTCCAAGGCTGGGAGGGGGGCTTCAACTTGAAACCTCTAGCAGGGAAAAAGAAAGGAAGAGCAAAATAAAAATAAATAAATAAATAAAGCCACTCCGCATGGGAGTGCACGCTGCTCCTCCTGATGCCAAGAATGTCCCATTTGGGTGGCCCAAGGGTCATGAAATTGGAACCACAGAAGAAGAAATATAATCAAAACCCTGCTGGCTCTGCAGGGAAAAAGACTTACAAGGCCATAATCATGTAAATGCTGTTTATTGATTTTTCAAATTTTAGAATCAGCCCATGGACAGAGCACAGAAGACTTCATTGTGGTTACAGAGCACAAGGTAGATGTTAACACCCAGCATGATGGAAAAGCAAAGTACACAGGACCTTCAGAGGGCAAGAGAGGCAGAGGGCAGGAGAACAAGTGGTGGGAAGTGTCCTCCCCACACACATGGCTATCCCCATCCTACACAGGATTCACCAGATAGACTAAAGCCAGTAAAATTAGGGCAGTTCTAGTTGTGTATAGTGTGTATAGTGTGTGCGTCTGTTGCGTATAAAGTTGAAGAAGAAGAAAGAGGAAGAGGAGGAGGAGGAGGAAGAGGAGGAGAAGTAGAAGGAAGAGAAGGAGAAGGAGGAGGAGGAGGAGGAGAAGAACAAAAAAAAGAAGAAGGAGAAGGAGAAGAAGGAGGGGGAGAGAAAAACCAAGAGAACCAAAAAGAACCAAGAGAGAACTCAAAAATACGACTATCCAAAATGGAGAGAAAAGAAGGAAGGACTTATCAAAGCATGCAGTCCTCAGTTTTTGACATGGGGCGAAATGATGCTGGGAAAAGCCAGAAGCAGTGATGCAAATACATTTTTGGTGACAGAGAAAACTCTCAGAAGAATAGAAAATCTATTAAAACTACTATGTCTGAGCTGATGAGTGGGAAGGGGAGGGAAGGAAACTTCACTTTTACTCATCAACTCTTCTGTGCTCTTTTGCTTTTTCTTTATTTGGGTTTTCTCTTTAGGTAAACACGGCTTTGATTTCAACTGAGGAGAGGGCGGTGCTGGGGACGAAACTGAGGAACCTGTGCTTGCTAAGCACGCATTCTACCACTGAGCTGTATCTGCCAGCCTCAGAAATTAAATTTTAAAGAGTGACACCAAAATCCTCTCAACTGAACCAGAAATGACCAGGCTGTCTGCGCACCAGTCGGGTGCTGGGTGGGCTGCCACCCCTGCGTGGACAGGGGAGGGTTGGGGGCGCTGCGCAGCCCCTAACTCAGCATGCTCCGGCAGCGCAGCCGCTCCTCCTCCCGCTTCTCTTCCATTCGGTTCTCCAGCAGCCGCAGCTCCCGGTGCACGGCCTTGCGCATGGACGGCTCCAGCTCCAGCACTTTCTGCAGGTCTGCCTTGGCCTCGGCCTCATTCCACACCTCCGCGTGTGCCCGGGCGCGCACGTAGTAAGCCTTCACGATGCCTGCGGGGAGGGTTGCACTGCACCCGCCTGCCTCGTCCCAGAAGCTGAGACTCACCAGTTCACAAAACCCCAACCTGCCCCCATCCTTAGGCTCTCTAAGCCTCCTCTGCCTCAATTTCCTTGACTATAAAATAGAGATGATAATGATAATAACATCACCTCTCCCTTCTCTGGCATGGACCCTTCCAAGTTTCTGTAACTACTTTTATGCTCAGAATTCTGCATTCTTTTTCTTCTAGGAGTACCTCAGATTGTACAACATTCCAGCCCTGCACCTTACCCCTAAAATGACTAGGAGGATTATGAGGATTAAGTGAAATAATAAAGACAGGGGCTTAGTGCCTGGAGCGTAAGTGTTTGATGCTGTTGTTAACATTATTCAAACACCTTCTTCACATATATCACCATATCCCTGTACCACCCTACCGTTGTGAACTTAACTTGTTCTTTGGATTGATTGCCTCCTTCTTAAAAAAGCCTAATTACCACTCCACACAATCACAAGCTTGGTGAGCTACTGCTAGATATATCCAAATGTATATTTTTTAAAAAATGCCTCCCACAGTAAGTACCGCCCACCCACCTCCATAGGGGGGACTCTGCAGGGTAGAGCCAAGGCATGGCACCTCCACAGAGTGGGAAGAGAAGTCCGTGGAGGTCTTCAAAGATGAGCATGTGGGCCCTGGTAGATGCCCCTCCACCCAGATGCCCAGCCCACCATGACCAGACCCGCACCTGGGTGGTGGCGGATGATGTCGCTGGTGTGCTCCAGTACCTCGTAGTACTCTTCCTTCTTCAGCAGGCACTGGCAGTAGTTGAGGATCAGGGTGTTGATCATCTTCTCCAGCTTCAGCCACTGCACCTCCCAGGGCTTCTCCTGCCAGCAGCAGAGAATGAGCCATAAGCTCAGGCCACTGCCCACCCCAGCCCTGCACCCTAGAGGCACGGGGAAGCCCCTACCTTGGTCTGCAGGTTCCGCAGGCAGACAATGGCTTCCTGGTACTTGGAGGAGGCATCGTCATAGCGGCCCAGTTTAAAGAGGCGGTTGCCCTCTCCATGGAGGATGGGCACAGCCTGTATCTTCTCCTCATTGTTCAGGTTCCACGTCTCCCGCTGGTACTCACTGGGGGCTTCAACCTGCCCCAGGAGCCTCCAGTCAATGACTCTGGGACCCCCGGGACCACACCCCAGCAGGAACCCGGGAGGGTAGAACCCGCAGGACTGGCTGAAGTCAGACCTGCCTGGACCACAGTGAGGTTCCACCATACTGGCCACATCTGCTGGTCAAACACAGAAGAGCAGGAGAGGGAGGCTACGAGACCAGGACCCTGCCCTAAACCAGCACTTTGTGCAAGGTAGGAGAAAGTTCCAATATTCATAAAGTGGCATGAAGACTCATTTCCTTAGAACAAGACACATTATTGCCACCCGCTGGAAACTTGACATTATAAAAATACAAATACGCAGTGCCTGTAATGAGCCCCTTAGAGGGGGTGCCCTAGTGCAATGCCTGGACCACACAACTGTTTAAGTAAGTCTGTAACTGAACTCGTTTGACGCATTCTGTCTTGATCTGTCCATGGAGTCCTTGGGCTGAGCCTCAGCTTTGGCCATACAATGAGTCCTGACCCGGCCTTGACTCTAACTCTGACTCTGGCTCCCACTTGCCACCCCACAGTGTAGGGTGCCGGCCTCTCTGGGATCTGGGTGGGCAGTGTGGCCATGCAGCCTGTCCTGCTGTTCCTGGACCAAGTCTGAATTCACAAACCACAAGGATCGAGGAAGACATTGCACTACTTCACTTGACAACAAAAATGGAAGTAGATAACCAACAGAGGGAAAATGCTTCCCACATAAAAGTGAATCACGGGGCTGGGGATTTAGCTCAGCGGCAAAAGCGCCTGTCTGGCAAGTGCAAGGTCATGAGTTCGGTTCCCGGTACCAGAGAAAAACAAAAAAAAAACAAAACAAAACAAAAAAGTGAATCACATTTTTAATACACTGGCTCCATGAATTGGAAATAACAAAAATCATCTAAAGTAAATAAATAAATAAATAAGATACTGGTTCCCAGTAGACTTTTTCTTTGGAAAATGGGGTTTGTTTTCCCCCAGATTCCAATTCTCCTGTGGTTCTTAATGCATTGTTGTTGTTGTTTTTTCCCCAGTACTGGAGGTTGAACCCAGAGCCTTTGTGCTAAGCTACAGCCTCAGCTCCTTTTATTTTTTTTTTTTAAATTTTGAAGTAGGGTCTTGCTAAGTTTTCCAGGCAGGACTCAAACTTGCAGTCATCCTTCCTCAGCCTCCCAGAAGGCTGGGATTGTAGGCCTGCCCCATCACAGCCAGCTCTTGAATGTTGTCTTGTTCTCTATAAACTGGACCATGTCCTGAGGCAAGTAGGGCTGTGTCCCCAACCTTCTTGATTCTAGCCCAGCCCCCACCCTCCCTTCGCTGTTTCTACCTGTAGCAGCTCGATCACAAAGATCAGGGGCTGTGGCTCTTTCTGCAGCTCATCCAGGTCCTCGTAGCCCAGCGTGTGGTAGGCAAACATGTTAGCCAGCCCGCAGGTGTGGACATGCCAGTCGGTGGGGTCCTTGCCCTCAGCCACCTGCCGCAGGCTCCGGGACAAGATGGGGTAGACGCCCGTGTGCTGTGGGAAAGATGTGGGGAAGGTGACATCTGTGGCCTGCTCAGGGCTGGCGGGCCCTGAAGGCCCCGACTCTGCATCCCCCACAGCAGAACCCTCCTACACTCACCAGAAACAACCAAGGACCCCTGTGTGCCAGGCAAAGTACTGCGTGCCTACCACCTCCTTCCACCCTTACAGCAGCCAGTGCAGGAGGCACTAATAGCTCCATGTTTCAGATTTGAGGACCCAGAGAAGTTAAGCAACTTATTTAAGGCCACACAGCTAGCCAGTAAGAGAGCCAAGATTCAAAACCCACTGCAGAAGCCAGTCTCTTAGTGTCACACTGCCTCCTGCTGGCCCCTGACCAGTCCCCAGGAGACCCTGAGCTCCTGTGATTCACAGGGAGGGCAGTGGGCAGCAGCGGGGGGAACAGAGTCCCAGTTCTGAGAGGGCTTATTCAGCAGCCTGGGGGTGCCGCTAAGCAGCAACAGGCCCAGGTCATCGCACCCCTTTAGCCCCTCTCCCCTTGGTGGCCCTGGCTGGTGTTAGTGTTATCACAGGGACAAAAGGGGATGGCACAGATATAGATCTGGCTCACTGCAGCCTCACCCAGCCTGGGGAGCTGGGGTTGCCACCCCTCGGACAGAGGAGGCTGAGAAAATCAGCTATGGTGGCTCAGCAAGGCCTGATCCTTGGTGGGCCTCAGCTTCCCCACTCTGGCCTCTGAGTGCCCACATCCTAGACAGGGCTGTGAGCTGGCCCAGCCCCAGCTCCCACACACAGCCAGCACTGTACAGTGCTAGGAAAGGGAGGGGGCAGAAACGAAGAGATGAAGGTCACCTTCCCGCCCCCGCCCGCCTGGATTAGCCCGGATGCCCTCCGCTGCTTTGTGAGAGGGATGGCCAGATGGCAGCTGAGCCTGTCAGGGTCAAGGCTGGACTAAGGGGAGGCGGGGCTGGGGGAGCCTGCTGCAGCAAGGGCCACTCCTGGCTCTGACTCAGCAGCCCAGCAAGTGGAATGGGAGCCAGGGGCCCAGGCCAGGCAACTGTTGGGCACAGCCTCAGACAGAGCCCTCATTCCAGCAGACACCTGCCACCCTGGCAGTGTCAGGGCCCCTGGCTGGCACGTGTGGGCTGAGGGATGCCACCAGAAGCCAGGAGAAATCCGGGGACAGAGAATAAAGTCGGGAGAGAGCAGAATCTAACACCTCTAGGAACAGCTCCTGAGGGCAGGAGGGAAGGTGCCAGTCTGTGCGCTGTGCTGCCCTTAAGGCACAGCTGGCCAGACTGCAGGCCATACGGGCCGCCATAGTCACGCACAGGGCTCTGTAAGGCCAGCCTGCAGCCCCTGGGGCTCATTCAGCCCACAAGGGCTGCAAAGGAGGCAGAGGAGCCCCGCCTCACTGTCGCTCTCTGGGCCTTCCAGGCCAGAGCCTGGTTCTGTCCAGGAGCCTGTATTGAAGAGCTGGAGCGTGACAGACATATCCAACTCGAAGATCCGCTTTGTTTTATCCTTCATGATATCGGCTGTTTTCCTGCCTGTTTTTTTTAATTGGTTGGCAATGTTTATTCAACACTGGGAGAGTTCAAGTTCACACCTAATACAGATTTCTGGCTTGTCTCCAGAACAGACTCCTGCCACACTGGGCCCTGCCCCTTGCAGGTTGCAACTGTCCAGAGGGAGCTAACAGGTGCCCCCCTTAGAAGGGGCAAAAAGGGTTCCTGCTCCTTGTGGCATCTCAGTTTGCAACCTCTAACCTCAAAAGACTGGGTGCCGGCAAAACATCCCACAGAGGCCAGCGTCCGTCCCGAGGGTGGAGGAAGAAAAGCCTTTGGGGGCAGAAATTCCTAGAACCCCTCAATGATTCTGCCTCTCTGGCCTAGGGGAAAGGGAGGAGGGAGGAAGCCCCTGCTCCTATAGAGACCTGAACGTCAAGGTACCCCCAAGCAGGCTGTGCAGGCTCTGCACCATGACTGCTGGGGAAAGGCAGGCCTTCTTCAGCCCTTTGTTGCACACAGACAGTTGTCCCACTGACTGCTTAGCCCAGCAATTCTTGGATGGAGAGATGCCCCATGGAGGAAAAGGGCCAAATAAATGTAACACGTCAGGCCTTTTCACATTTCCTGGTCTGGGTGCTACTCTTCTCCTCACTTCTAGGCCTGGTGAATCCCTACTCATCCCTCAAGACTCAGCTCAATGACATCTTCTTGAAGAAGCCTCCCCTCACCCCAAAACCCTAAAGCAGTTAGTTGTGATTTTTCTTTATGTTAGGGCATTGGCTTCTCTGCATTATATTGGTATAGGTGTTTGTTCCTCTTTCAGAATTGAAGTGAATTGAGGGCTGGGAACTTCGCCATTTCATTTTTAATGTGCAGACCAGGCCAAATCAGGTGCCTCAAGAAGGTCATTAATGGGATGGAGGGAGAGAGAGAGAAAAGGATAAAGAGAGAGGGAGAGATGAATGTTTAGTGGTAGAAGTCTGGATTATGAATGACTGGTTTAAGGAAAAGATAGATGAATTGAAGCCTGGGTGGGTAGAAAAATGGATGGATAGATGGATGGGTAAAATAGGGATGTATAGGTGGATAAATGATTCTGGAAGTTGTGTGTGTGTGTGTGTGTGTGTGTGTGTGATAGCACTATAGCCATGGTCTGGGAGAAGATGTGAGAGGCTATTTGGAAAATCAACAATCACCATGGTATAAAAGTTGCCAGCCTTTGGGAAATAACTACCATTCTGACCAAAAGAACAGACACTACAGGAAATAAAGAGCAATGCCCGAGTTTTGGGAGCAACATTAGCTTGCAGTTTAGCAAACAACAAATCAATCAGCTAATCAAGAATGCACTGACTGTCTTCCATGCATGCAGTTCTTCTGTGTTAGTAAATGCATACCCTATGGAAAGGGGGTTCTTGTGGTAAGAAAACCTTGTTTCAGAAGCATATAGGTCTGACAAGGATAGGCGCTCCTTTCTGTAAGCAAATTCAATACTTACAATTTTTAAAATAACTGAAATCACAGAAAAAGCCAGTTTTCTGAAATCACAAATTGATTAAAAATGCTTTTTAAAGATAAAAATGTAAGGATGCTAGGTGTGGTGGTGCATGTCTGTAATCTTAGCTATTCCAGAAGCTGCAGAAGAAGGACAGCAAGTTCAAGACCAGCCTAGGCAATTCAGCAAAACCTTATCTCAAAAAAAAAAAAAAAAAAGTCCCTGGACTAAGGATGTAGCTCAGTGATAACAGCACCCCTTGGATTAAACCCTCAGTACCTTAAAAAAAGATGAAATAATTCAGATAAATAATAGCACAGAGATTCCTACAAAGAAAAGATGCTTACCTATTATTTTCTAGGTAACATAAAATGAATGACATGCATTGGATGAGACTGCCTAGGGTACAGGAAGGAATTGTAGCCTGACTTTACTGTAGTAGACACTAACAAGAAGCATGTCCTGGGCAGGTGTGAAGGGCCAAGATCTCACTCCGATCCTCTCCCTTAGTTGTTTGACCCAGGACAAGTTACCTTCTCTAACTCATAAATGTTTTCATTGGTAAGAGAAGGAATTAATCTTTAAATTCCTTCTAACTCAAAATAATAGTTCCCACTTTTCAACTGCCCTATATATGTTGTGATCTTCCCTCACAGATGTCATCTCATGTAATCACCAAGACAACCTTTATCTTGGGCTTTTGTTGATTTATAGATGAAGAAATACAGTGTCAGAAAAGGAAAGGACACCCCCAGTTCACACAGCTAATAAGAGACAGGGCAGAGTTCCAATGTAGGTCTATCTTGCTCTCAAACTGCTCTTTCCAAAGGTTGTTGGCCCCTGATGAAGGGAGGAGTCTGTGGATCCACTGTCAATGGTGAAAACTGAGGGAGTCTTGGAGTGGATGGATCAGGCTGTCAACAGCTAAACCACCAGTCAATCTTAATGTCACAGTAAGAGAGGCAGGTGTGGCATGCCTCCCAACACAACACACAGTACCATTGTGATATACTTCTGCAGAAAAAGAAAGACTTGAATTTTAGTAAGCTCTCTAGGCCAAACTTCCAATTTATTAAAAAAAAAAAATGGGGAGTAGAGGAACATATTAGACAAACACTGGCAAAGCCACCAGAAAAAGCACAATGCAGGACTTCTACAAGATAATGGATCCAGTTCCTTCAAAAAATCCATATCAAGAAAGGAGAAAACCCATTGATAAAAAGAGACTTGGGAGACATAGTATCAACTGTGAACTATGTGGACTTTGAACAAACCAACCTCCTTTACTTTTAAAGAATAAATGACACAACAAGAGAAATCCTAGCAAGCTCTCCTTAGTCAGCTCACCCACACCTGATAAACTGACAGGCTTCAGAGCACCATATTAAAAACATGCAGGAATTGAGTTTTTAAAGGATTTAATAATGATATTGTGGTTAGGTTTTTTAAACATCCACATATGTCAGAGATACAAATTTCAGTGTTTCCAGAGGAAATGATATGGTGTCTGAATTTGCTTAAACTGTGTGGGATGAGGAAGGCCAGGGTGTGGAGTGATGGGCACTTTTTTTTAATCAACTTTCATATATGTTTAGAAGCTTCCATAAGAAATATTTGTTAATTGTCTGTGAGTTTTGCCGTTTCTATCTGGGCTGCAAAACAAGGAACCTAACTTATGAGGATAACATAGCTAATGTGCCACAAATACGGGGAAAATGGAACATTGGTGGGACTTTGGAAAAGGGCAAAACGTGACCAACGGCCAACAGTTTCTAAGACATTACAGTGCTATACAAAAAGGGAAGACTATGAAGTGGATGGGCTCACTCCTATTTGGCATGGCCACACGACCCCACATCCTGTCAGCTAGCCAGGCCCCTGGTTGTCACTTTAGGGCCCATTCTTTCAAGTGGACTTCTCCTCATATTTACAGTGGCAGAGATAAGCATGAGGGATTTGCCTCACAGAGCTTTGGTTTTACCCCCAACTTTCCCGAAACACCACAGCTCCGCAACGTGGGAGGGTGAGCAAATCCCAGGAACAGACTGATGGGACCTACTTACGATGGTGTCACACCAGAACTCGGCCACCTCATTGATCCGCATGGACGTCAGCAGGGTTTCCCACACTTCCAGCTTGAACATGTTCCCGATGATAATGTGCATGGGGTGGCCCACCTGCTTGCTGTCGTCTATCACCGTGCGCTCCTCGTCACATTTTGTGGTGCGGAAATGAAAGGTCACCTGGTCACCAAAACAGTGGATCCTAGTCTAGACACATCTCTTGAGTTGCACCTGAAGCTATGCCCACTGTCACAGACTCCCAGGCTCTCTTTGGTCAGCTCACTCACAGCTGATAACTTGACCGGCCCCAGAGCTCCCTACCTGCACTCCCTCAGGGATGAGGAACCAGGAAGTCCTTCCTGAAATAAGCCCTATGTTGTCACAGACACATCTATCAGTGCAGGGAAACCCACCAGACGTGTGGAAGAAAACACTGTGACACCGAGGGACCTTCCTTCTCACCCAGCATTTAGGGCTCTAAAAATTCCCCCAAACCCTTCTCTTGGCCAGCTCTAATGTTTAATCTGCAAAGTCCCAAAGTGCCCTGTGACTGGGCACTCACTCAGAGCATCCCAGGTGCCCGGGATGGATAGTTGCAGAACCACCTGGCTGCTTTTGGATCAAGTTGAAGCCCGCCGTGGAGGAGGGAGACAAGTGGGGGGCCTTACTCGACATCCAGTGATGAAGTTCGGAAGGTCCCCAGTGCCCCCGTGTAGAATGGTCTTCTTGACGCCCTCCACATTCAGGAGCAAAGTGGCATCCATGCTGCAAGTAGAAGCAGGTGTCCAGCCCAGGCTGAGATAATCTTGCCCAGGGACAAAGACGCTTAGGTGGCTGAGACACAAGGGGATTTGCACGCAGGGAAAGGGGGTGCAGGAAGAAGCGGGCAGCTTTATCAGAGCCACTGCAGGCAGCCTTACACCTTCTGCCCCACCTACAATGCCTTGAACTGATGCAAAGCCCCTGCCTGGCACCCACCATCCCACCCTAAAAAGAAAGGAAGTTGGCTGAACTTTCTCAAAGAAGGCGGGGAGAGGAGTCAAGCAGAAGAAGCCAGGGGCCACCCAAGGAGAAGCAGAGGACACGCCCGAGGCCCTGCCTGGACCCACAGTGCTGACCCTGGTCCCGGATCTAAGTCCCGTTGGAGCCCACGCTAGCTGCCTTTGCTTTCCACTGCCCTCCTTTCCCTGTTCCCACTTCCTTCCTTCCCCAAGATCCGTCCTCAAGAGAGTGTGAGATGTGGCCAGAGTGGAGACTAGAAGGTGCACCTATCCCTCCCGCTGGTCCCTGGGACCCAGGCAGAGCTTCTGCAGCCCGTTTGGCCCAAAAAGAGGATATGTAATATGAAGACTTGGTGTTTGGCACCACCTTGTGGCCAGCTCAAAATCTTCCGCTTTGGCCCCCAGAGCCCTGGGAGGGTGGAGGCTGGGGAGGCCCACAAAACAGTCTCTTGGGGGCGGGGGAGGGGTGGTGGTGACCGCTTAAAAAAAAAACAAAAAGGAGAGAGAGGCGGTACCTGCAGCAGAGAAAGAAGAGCTGGACTAGCAGCCACAGCCACGGCAAACTGTGATTAAAGGGCTGACTCTGCCGCCTGTTTACTGCCCTGTGGTCTTGGACATCTTCCACCCTAACTTTATTTGTCAACTGAGATGGGAAAATCCACCTGTCCTGCCTCCCTCTCCGGGAAGTTAAGAGGCCTGGAGAAGGGAGGGGACCCAGAAACCCAGCACTCTGAAGCTGCTGACTCCCATCAGCAGCCTTGGGCTTGGAGGACCCCACACTGGGCCAACTGGCTGGAGCCAGGAACCCAGCCTGGCACCCTGGGGAACCCCCTGGAGTGCTAAGACCCCCCAAGGGCAGTCTTCGTCCCTGCTTGGGGGCAAGGGCTGAGGCTGAAGGTGGGAAGACCCTTTCGCTCTCCTCTCGCACCCTTTCTCCAGTCACACAGCCACCTGGAGGGGTCCGTGTGTATAGGAGAGAAATAGACGCAGAAAACCTCAAGAGAAAATAACAGCGGTTCCCATGAATGTCTACTGGGGAAGGAAAGCACACAACAGGGGCCAGAGGTTGTTTCCGGGTCCCGACAATGTTCACTGTGATCTAGGGCAATGGTGGCAAACCTATGGCTCATATGCCACAGCAGGCTGTTTGTATCACTGAAAGCTCTAAAAGGTTCACCACCACTGACCTAGGCCATGGTTACATGGGTGTTTGCTTTATAAGGATTCATTATCTGAGAGTATGTTTGGGGCATTTTTCTATCATGATCAAATTCACAATGGGAATTCACAATGGGAAATCATCCCATGATTAGGGCCTAATCATATTTCAACTCACAGTATTTAGATATCCTTAGGTTCTTTTTCTATGCACCACTTCCCTTGGCAGAGGACCAAAAGGCACACAGGATCCATATTTAAGAGGAGGAACTCGTAGCTTTAGCCTGGGCTTGGGACGGGGAAGCCACAGGGCACACAGGCAAGAAGATGTGGGTGCTGATGCTGGGGATTCCGTGCACTGCTGAAAAACAGTCTGCTGCCTCTAGAGTGATCTCCTTAGCCCTCCAAGCCAATCTCAAGGAATTTTTTCATATGCAACCCTAATAATCAGCTGCTTTCTTTAAATTCAGCAAAGACTTCCCTCCACCTTCAGGATGCACTCTAAACTTCCCTGACCTACAGGCCTGTACCCCTGACCTCTGCCCTTAGCCCTGCACTCTATTTTTTTCAGCTTTTGTTCCATCCTACAGTCACCCAATGGATCTAAGAATGACCCCTGAACAGGCGATGGGGGTCCTCGACTTAGACAAGCAGGTTCTTTACACTGTTGTAGAAAATATCTCAGGAGCATCATGAGAGGCAGAGCTGATTTGTTAGGCAGAATTAGAAAGTAAGAGAAAATAGGGAGAGGACTTCAGCTTAAAGAGGTCAGAGGGCCATAGCTCTGATGGAGAGGAGCTGGCTGGGCCCTTAAAGGAACAGGACAGAGCTTTTTGGATTTGCTGGGGCGGGCTAGGGTCTAGTTGATCATTAGCTCAGTTCTGGCTTTCACAGCGGTTTCCAGGGTGGTTATCAATCAGGTCTCTCTGAGATGACTGCTTCCACTTAGGACAGCTTTGTTCTGTTTTCAGTTACCTATTGGGTGTCTGTAGGCCCAAGTGAAGAATCACGTTACTTCAGCAAAAGCAGTTTTCAAGTCCCTGGCTGCCTCAGAAAACAGAAATCATGCTTTTAATGAGTAACAAGTTAGGGACCAACCAAGAGTTTATCCTCATTCTTATGGAGGTCTCTGTCTCAGTGGAGTGCAGCAAGGCCCCAAACTCCCAACATTAACCTCAACGTCTCCACTAAGGTGCCACCTACCTGGGAAAAGTTGCCCTGACACCCAGCCCAAGTGAAGTTCCCCTTCCCCTTAATCTTTCGCCTTTCCCCGAACACTTCACAGTCCTGCCCTGTGCACACGCATTATCTGTTTACAGTAATGTGCTTCACGTCTGTTTCTTTCATCAGACTAAATTGCAGAGGGTCAAGAAGAGCAGTGAAAGCTTTATTGTTGGAGAAGCAGCCCTAGGCAGGTCTGACTGAACTCTTCCTCCATCCCCCCCCCCCCGAAAAGGCCAGGGAGAGGCTAGACACCAATTAGAGCAACTGGCTGGCTATTCCTCCTCACTAAGAGCAGAGGCCCCAGCACCTGCCTGTCATGGAGAAGGCTGCACCTGTCTGGAGCTTCCCCACCACCCTGAAACCACTTTGCATGCAAGGCCAAGGAAAAGGCTTCTCATTGAGAAGAAAATACTTCTTCCTCCTTTTCTTGTTGCCATGGAAACTGCTCTTCATTAACCTGGTCCGCCACTTAGCATTCTGAGAGGCAAGAGGGGGAAAGCTGCCAGCAGGGAGGGCTCTTTGTGTGCGCATGCATGCGTTCCAGACACTTGACAAGGATGCGTAATCCAGGATAAAGAATGGAGGTTTTGCAGTCAGACATTCAGGATTTAAGTTTCACCTCTGATGCTCCATACAATCTGGGATGAGATACTTCCTCTATCTGAATCTCCAGTTTTGTCATCTGTAATGGAAATAAAAATAGCACCCACTTCCTAGTGCTGCCACAAGGATTAAGGGAGAAAAAAAGAATGTAAATGCACTCAGCTGAGTGTCTGACACATGGTCAGGTCAAAAAATGAAAGCTATTATTATGCGTTCCCGTGACATGCCAGGCGTCGTGATAGGTACTGGAGAGGCAACCATGAAAGATGCCCCAATTTGAGATATTTTGTTTCTAAAGGCTTCATCGACCTTGAGTCTTTCTCACATTTTGAACTTGGTCTTTGTAGAAACAATTTTCTTTTCCTCCTGCTATTTCATTGTAGTCAATTCCCTTGATAAGCAAATACAACTGGTATAAACAAATTTTGGAGCAAGCATTTCTGACTCTGGGTAAACAACCCTACTGAAAGAACAAAGTGGACCAGTGAGTTAAATTAGTGGTTTTCAAATCTCAGTAGTGACCAGGGTAAAAGGAAGCAAGTTCTCATAACTCTCAGGGGTTTTTCCAGTTTTTTTTATTAGCACACGCTTGCAGTACAAAATGATCACATTCTTCGAGCGGAGTTTGTACATGTACGTAACACATCTTAATTCTTTTTAATTTTTAATCCCTTCCCCCTGCCTCAGTCCCTCTTTCCATCTCTTGGTCCTTTTCCTATATGTAAAAGATCTATCTCACTCTTTCCTAGTATCTATCCTTTATTTTGCTCTGTATTTATATTATCTCTTATAAGAGAAGCCATGGAATATTTAAGCTTGTGAGTCTGATTTATTTCTCTTAATAGTATGGTCTCCAGGTGCATCCATTTTCCCACAAATGACTCAAGTTTATCCTTCTTTACAGCAATAGCTTTCAGTTTTTCAAAATGAAGTAGAAAATAAATTCTCAGACAGTCCAGAATGATTTCACAAAGCTTTTGTTTCCCTTCTGCTAGGTTTCTTACAAGGAGCACTGGTCCTCTTGAATATGTTGAATCCTGTGCCAAGGAAACCACACAAACCCTCACAAATATACACACACAAAAACGCACACTTTGCCTGGTTAACTCTTCTCCAGCTCTCAGCTTTCAGTAACATATTTTATGTGGTTCTTTGACTAACTGGATATTGGTTATCAGCACTCATGTCCCTCTCTTCCCATAACTGAATCTGAGCCCCATGGTGACTTTAGTTGAACCTTGTGGCCCATTTTTAGCATATTGCTTAATCAAACACAGGCACTCAGCTTATGAGGTGACTCCCCAGAGCTCACCCAGGAAAGGGGAAGTACAAGGAGCATCTGCAACAGGTGAATCATCTGTACCCAGACCTAGGACAGCCAGGAAGAAAGTTGTGGAAGAGCAAGGGCAGAACCTTAACCTGGGTGTGCCCAGGGGGCAAGGCAAGGTGGATAATTCACAAAAACTTGAAAGAGGAAATATAAGGGAGAAGGAGGAGGAGGAAAATCAGGAAGCCCAGAGAGACTTTGGCTGGGGCATGTCGGTTTGTGGGGCACTGGCTGTAGGTGTCAGGTGAGCCATCCAGGCTGGAGGCAGAGGCTGAGGTGAGGGACAGTGTGGTGTGGCAGTTAAGCACATGCGAACCCTGGTCCTTGACTAACAGAGTTTAAATCCTTGGCCCTGGGTGAAATTTAGGCTCAACCTAACCTCTCTACACCTCAGTTCCCTCATCAAAGCACAGGCTACAATGAGGATCGAATGTGTTCAAGAATATTTATCAAGTGCTTGGTC